ACTCAAAAATCGTGTAATACATGAAATGACAAAAATGTATTGCTAACATTGTGATGGCCCAAATAGATGTATTTGCTCTTACTCCGTAATGTCGTTTACAAAATAAGGCCCAAAATTCATTTCTAAATAGTGGCCCAAAAATTTCTTAACACGTTTTGGTACAAATTATGATAAAAGTTGATAAAAGGGAAGAATTCACAAATCGGGTTTTAACTTTCACCCATTCAAAAATTAGGTATTAAGTTTAAAAAATGCAAAACTCGGGTATTTAGTTAATTAATTAAAAATAATTATTATTTAAATATAATAAATTCACAATTACATAGTTAATGGTCACATATACATAATTATATACCACAATTTATTTATTGGTCACGTATTATCAAATTAATTACTCATGGATGATTTCGAGGTCACAAATTCAAAAATTCATAGGTCACAATTAATTTCATTGGTCACATATTTTCAAATTTGTTGATCACTAATTATTTTTCAGTCACATGTCAAATTTTTAGGTTACAGTTAAATACTTGGTCACATATAATCCAATATTTGCTCACATACCACTCGCACTATCACTTTAGACACTTTTGACCACCCTCACCCTGCTGCCGCCATCACCACCACGGCCACCAACATCACCACCACATCACAACCATCACCAACCAGATTCGAACCCACCACACACCATATTTGCACCACCGCAATTGATCAAACACCACTGCACCACGTAGTCGCCACCACTGCACCCACAAGCAAATAGGGTAGATAGTTCAGTGTGCGTAGCAGATCTGTACTCTTGCACGTGTGACGTTGGACTACATCATCTCTCTCATTTCTCCCTAAAACTCTTGCTTTTCACCTTTCTCTCTCTCCAGATGGTTGTCGGCGTTGCAGCCCCCACACATCGATGGGTGATGATGCATCGGGAGAGTCGCCGATGCAACCACGAAGAGAAGAAGGGAGAAGAGGAGAAGTGCGGCGTTGAGTGAGACAGAGAAGAGATGGAAAGAAAATGTCGAAGGGAAATTGTTAGGGTTTGAAATTGAATTGAGTGTAGATAATTATATTCATACCTGATTTTTGAATAATGAAATTTGGTCCTTGATTTTTGAATTTCAATCTTTAAACACCTTATTTATGTAATTTTCCCTTGATAAAGTATGTAGATGAAGTCCAATGAAACCATAAAGCAATAGAGAAATTTACAGGGGTAAAATAGTCAATTGACAACATATACAAAACTAACTTGGATACAATTTCAAATTAGGATTAATCTATGTGTACAT